GGGGAAGGTCTCCTACCTGGTCACATGTTCTAGAGGGCAACCTGGGGTCCCTATGGGCTAAAGTCTACTCAGATGTGGACAGCTGGAGCACAGCCTAGCTGGGTGGAAAGAGCAGCATTCTGGACCCCTCACCTCTCCATAGGACAAAGGCCAACTGACTGAGGAGCCTTTGTTTTCTGCATAGAGCCAGAGGCGCCCAAGCAGGCAGAAAGCTTTTTCCGGGTGGCCTGCTGGCCAAGGCCCCAGAGAGCCCAGAGCTTGCCTGGCCAGAGGCAGAGTCATGAAGAATGGCCCTGAGGACTGTCCTCACCCTGAGATTTGTCCGACATCCCTTGGTAGGAAAAGGACTGAAATCAGACATTCTGTCCCTCCCCTCCAGGAGGCAACAGGAAACCCCTGGCTCCAGGCCACCCAGAACAACTCCAAGCCAAATCCTGTCCCTCCCCTCTGGGAACAAACAAAAGTGGCCTCTCCTCTCCTCCGGTCAGTTTTAGAAGTCCACTGACCTGGACACTCACGACTGTTCTGAGATGGTCATAGAAGGGGACCCTGTCTTTTCAGGCCCGAAGTCTTCCTCTGTTCTGGCCCTGAGTCTTATCTTTTGGTGGGCTGCTACTCAAGAAAAGTTGTTCAGCCTGGAGCATAGCCCCTGGAGGTTAGCAGTTCAGGGAACAGGGGATGCCTGATAAAGGTGACCGCCTTCAGAGGCCACCTTAGCAGGAACCAAACATTCCTGCATACTAATACCTTTTTCCCTGATGGCCTAGAGCTCCAAGAGCCCAGGGTCCCAGTCTCTCAAGCTCGTGGAGACCTACGTGTCACCAGTGCCCCACCCCGCCCGGGTGAAACTGCCGAGGCAAATGGCCAAGAAAGGGAGCAAGCTGAGGCATGTAAGAGGCAGAGGCCGAGGTCGCCCCCGCTTGGACTGAATCCGGAATCCCGGCGGAACCCAGACCTGGTACAGCGGTCTGGGCAGAGGTCGGAGTGGGGACTGGGGTCACTCACTACTCTGGGTCACACTACTGGATCCACGTGTCGTCTAGCAGGCAGCAACAGTGTGAGGCGGAGATGCCGGGACCCAGGGAATCTTATCGGACCTGTCCCAGGCGTCCGACTTCGTTGGATCCCTCCCCAAATAGTGCCGCTGAAGAAGGGCCATGAGCCGAACACGCGGCTGGCGAGGAGGGCGCTCCCGTCCCGGCAGACCAGGACTTTGCGTACCTCGCCCAAAGCCTACGGGTCGCTTCCTAACCCACCAGACGCCACAGCCTCTCCAGGATCCCAAGTGGCTTCCCTTGCCCGGCGCAGCCCCACCTTCGAGCCTTCGGCCGCACCCATGTGGGCAGCGTGGCGAGCTTAGCTACCGGCTGCGCATCCCACGGACCATGGCTGCGCACCCGGATCCATGTACACAACGGGGTGTGGCTCTGCGCCAGGGGACTGGAGGCGAAGGCGGACGGCGGGAGGATACTCACCGAAGTACACGGTCTTGTCACACTTGGGACACTTGGAGGCCATGGTCCCTGTGCTCGGTAGGTCCGCGCCCTCCACCCGAACTGGTCTCTGCGCCGCCGCCCGCGTCTGCCCCGCCCGCCTCCGGATGTCAATTGGCTCCGAGACCTGGGCGGGGCCTCAGGAGCCCGCCCCCCAAGACGCCCGCAGCAAAGCACACGGCAGGCGGGGCGCACCTGCCAGGGTCGGAGGGGCCGGGCCTGGCGCCCCCTACCCCACAGTGAGGTGGTGTCTACAGGGATCGCCCGCAGTTTCCATGACAACATCGTGGCCTCTAGCTGAAGAACAGACTTGGGGTTTCCAGCCCCAGGCCCCGACCCTCCTTGTCTGGCTCATGTAAGGAGTGGGTGCAAGAAGCCCGCGGGATGCCCCCTCCTCCTGCCTCCCGGGCGCCGCCTCCCTTTGTTGCCTCGTTTCCATAGCAACGGCCTGGGCGAACTGAAGCACGAAGCTTTGGATTCCGGGCGGGGCGCCGCGGTCCTGTCTGTGGTGCTGAAGGAGGGGCGGGAGAGGCTCACTAGTAAGCTGCCACCACTTCCAAAAACAGCCTAAGAAACTACAGGGATGAGTAGGGGCGGGGTGGAAACAGGCAGTGCGGGCTCTGAGGAGGCAGCAGGTGCATTTGCGCCTTAAGGTTCCTCCCCAGTTCTATCCTAGGAGAAGCAGGGTACCTGAGTTTCCTCTAACACCCCCAGCTGTGAGAGAGCCCCAAGCCCATGACTGCTGCTGGTCTTCCTCAGGCCAGGGTCTCTGACTCCCAGAATTCTGTCCCCTATGCATTTTGCAGGGTGGTACAACTAGAAATCCTGCCAGCTAGATCCCACCTACCACCTTGCTAGTCATCAGAAACAATCCCCCTTCCCATTTCTTCTTACCACTAGGGGCTTCCCAGTAGGGCCTCTCCTACTTTTTGATTCCATCCTGTAACTCCTGGATATAGGAACCGAAAAGAGTACCCAGGATCCTGCAGACCTCTCTCTGAGCCTTTGACCAAACCTGGGCATTGAGTCTGGGAAACAAACAACCTTTATGTCCCAGACCCTGATGACCTGACCCAGTATGGGCAACTGACTCCAGAAACACCACTCCCACTGTCTTCACTGCTTGGCTGGACACTCATATTTCATTTCTCTGCCAGCCCAAGGACTGGGAGTCAAGTGGTCTCAGGTGACCCCTGGTTTACTACTATTGTTCCATGTAATGGCCTCTCCCCTTCCTTGCACACATATCCTGAAGCTACTGCCATTTCCATGGTGACAACAGCTCAGAAACATGTGCTGCCCCCCCTCCAAGCCTGATTGACCAGCCTGACCAGCTCCCCCTGGGCACCTCTGGACACATGCCAGCCAAGGAAAGAGGCAGGTTTAGGAGGCCTCTCAGTGCCTTCCTGGACAGGATCCCTCCATTCATAGCCAGGTTCCTGTTCAGGCTGGACTCCCAACCCAAGCATTCATTGTCTTTCCCAGCTCCCCATCTCAGGAGTCCTGCGGAACCTAGCTAACAGCTTGCTTAACCACCCACCCCTAATATTTGCAGTGAAAGACAGGGCTAACTGGGCTAGGCTCAGGTAGTCTTCTAAAAAGGCCTCAAGTGTGCCCAGCCCTGATGAGAGTGGATAGGAACAGGGCCCCTCCAAAAGAATGGCACATAATACTGGCTAGATGCCCAGGGTGAGAAGGGGATCCAGCAAGGAGTGGGGGTGCATGGGGCTGTCTTGTGTCTGGCAAGAAGGCACATGGGCCAATGACAAAAACAGTGGCCTTGGCCTGCACATCTGAGGCTGTGAGGGCAAGAGGGCAGTACCAGGACAGCATGAGCAGGGACAGAAAGGCACCTCTGAACACACACCAGCCAAGGGAAGGGGTAGGTACTGGGCTCCACAGTGCCTTCCTGGACATGACACCTTCATTCATAGCCAGGTTCTGTTCAGACAGGACACAGGTGCCCTGTGCCAAACCATCTTACTGTACCTTCTTGTCTTCCATGCAGTATGGAAGACAGCAGGATGTGGAGCAGGTTACGTTTTTTTCTCTATGGTCCCGGCAAGAAACAAAATATCTTGGAAATTATATTTTCATGTGTCCTGCCCTCGGAACAGGGTCACAGATCTACTTATAGGAAACCCATGGCTGGGTTGGGACAGTTAGGCCCTAGGCATGGCAAGGCCTGGGATGAAGGTTCTAAGACATGACTTGGGCAGGTATGCAGGCTGTTTTTAGATCAGGTCTTCAAGTCAGTGCCAGTCCCTCAGGTCATGAGTGCCTGACCCTCACAGAATGTCCTCTGCCCATTTTCTCCGTCAAATAGGGCTTCAGGATAAAGCCCACCAGCCTATGTTCACTTCCCATTCTTTGCCTTGGCTTTGATCTCCCAGCAGCCAGAGGTGGACACATAACCCGACACACTGGCTTTGGTGCTGTAGTGGGCACTGGCTGAGGCACTGAGGTGAGTCAAGGGCCTGAGGACAAGGGAACTAGATCAGAAGGGGCTTGAGCCGAGAGCCATGCTCCCAGCAGACTCCCACATGGGAAAAGGACTCAGAGAAGGCCCTTGAAGACTGGACAGTCCTGGAGCAGTACCGGACAAGATGGAGACCAAGACCAACTGGGGGAAGAAGCTAAATGACCCTAGGAAGACAGGGTACATGTCACAGCCGTGTCCTAGACACCTGGCCTGTCACCCTGATAAGCCCCATCACAGGCTCAGGAAAGCAAAGATACCACTCCTATCTATACCGAGTGGGAACGTAAGTGGTTTCTATTTTAATCCCCCATCTGAGATTTCCACATATCATAGGCGCCTGAGTAGGGCAGGAGAAGCAGGAGGCAGAGGCCAAAACTCCCCACTGCTCCCAGGGAGGGGCTGGCTGACCCTTTTCTTGACCAGCTGAGGCAGCAGCCTGAGGAATGATGGTTTGTAGAGCCAGCCCTCCTTCCTCCAGTAGCTGGCCAGGCCTGCACCTGTCTCTAGGCGGAGATAAGATTTCTGAGCAGAAATCTGAGTAAATACTTGAGAAAAGCACACCTGCTCGGGCAGCCCAGCTTAGGGCAGCAGGCCTGACAGCTGGGGCACAGTGGGGGGGGGCACAGTGGGTGGCCCCGAACCTCAAGCTTTGTGCCAAGTCAACCTGGGTAAACCCCGGTTGGAAAAGTTGTAAGGCCTCAGGTGGGGTCCGCTCCCATTGCGGCACGTGAGTGAGTCAGTTTTAGCACAACATCGAGAGTGGAGGTCCTAACCAGTCAGCCCCTTGCTTCCCCTCTGGGAAGAGCAGCAGGCACTGGAGCAAACACCCGCATAAACAGGTCTCAAAGCAGTACACTCCAGATTGAGTGACCCCAGCACTGAGCTGAGCAGCATTTGGCCTGACCTGTAGCTATTGCCCATCTTCCTGGGCCTGACCATGTACCTGCCAAGAGGGGCAGGGTGGCTTCAAGGTCCTAAACCAGGAGAGCGACTTGGAACAAAGAACACAGAAGGGCTTGCTGGGGTTTTTCTTTTTATGAGATTTTTTTCATTGTTTTTGTTTAATATGAAAATTACTTGAAAAGACAAGGGACCAACCCTGCCAGGCAGCTTGGCCGCTGCTGGCCTCACCAATCCTAACATTCCAGGTGTAAGTTACAGAACTCAAGTTCATCTACAAAAAAAGTAATAAAAATAAAATTTAAAATGGCACCTTCAACAGAACACAACAAAACCTTAAAGCCCACCCCGGTGAGAAGCCCTGTAGCAGCACAGGGCCCGGGCATTCCTCATCTCTGCTCCAGCCAGAAAGTAAACACAAAGCTAAAAAAGACTCCTGGGTGTCTTGGAATAAGTTAGACCACACTTCTCCCCCCCATGTCCACCAGAGGAGCAGTTTCTCTGCATGTGAGGGCGGGAGTTGGGGCACTACGGAAACAGAGGGTGGGGTGGGCAGCAGTCTGGTGGGGGAGGGAGGCCGCCTGGCCTCTCTCTGATGGAGGGCCCAGGCAAGCCGCACGGCACTGTGGGGGGCTGCCTAGTCCTCAATAACAATGGGCTCATCGTTGACTGGTGCAGGTGGGGGTGGCCGCAGCGGCAAGGCCTGGCTCTGGCGCAGGGCAATGGGTTTGTAGGGCCGGCGGGCAGCACGCTTGGTTTCTGAGGATGAGAGCAGCTTGCGGATTTTCCTGCGGGAAGAGGTGAGCCAGTAAAAACCAGAAGGTGGTAGCCGAAGACTCCCATCCCGTCCCAGGAAAGGCTCCAACCTGGTCTCCTCTGTGGCCATGTAAAATACATCGTCTGGGGCATCAATCCAGTTCATTCGCCGCCGTTTGACAGGAGGCAGGGAGCCACCACGGATGAGGCGCACTTTGGTGGGGTAGGACTTCCCGTTAAGCAGGAGATTCCGACTTGGTCCCTGTGTTGAACAAGAGGTGGATATGAACACAGCAAAATAGTGCCCAGCCTTACTTTACACATCTCAGCCCAAGAGCCCCACTTCCTGGACCTCAAGGTTCCACAGTAAGGCACCCAGCCCAGGTAGGGAGCTCCTGGGGAGTTGTTCAGGCCTCAGTGTTCTGGGGCTAGGCTCCCTGTTAGCCTGGTCAGGCTGGGGAAGAGGGACTACCTGGGCCACTTCCCCATCACCCCAGGGATACATTCACACACAGAAGTGTGCCAAGTCTCTTGTCACCCACTCTTACCATGTGCCTGGTCTGTCCATGGTTTGCCAGACCTGATGAAAAAGAACACAGAGTGAGACCAGAGCAGGGGAAGCATGTTCAGCACCCACTAGTGCAGACCATTAGGATGGAGGTGAGGGATGATCCTTCCGAGGCCACCCCCTCTAGCCAAAGCCCACACCCAAGGGGCCTGTAAGAGCTTCTCAGCTAGCCCAGATGGTCCCATAGCTCTGCCAACCCTGAGGGCCACCTGGCCAGCAGAAGATGTAGCAGTTTGGCTCCTTCCTGTGAGACGGCTACCCCACTCCAGCAGGCCAAGGCAGGTAAAGTCTAGTGTATACCAAGCAACAGCCTGCAGAGCCGTGTGTGCATCATCAGCCCTCTCCCTTCGTGGGGCAGTCACTGTCTGCCGGTTGCTCACATGCTAAAAGCAGTTATTCTGACTCCAATAGATGTTTGGAGGCTGAGGGCCTAAAAATGAACTGAGATGTCAATAGCATGAGACTGAGAGGCACAATCTAGGCTCTGTCAGCAGGAACCCAGACGGGTCCACCCCAGGAACCACTGCCTCCTACATCTGCTGGCACAGGTCTCTGAATGGCCTGGTCCCAAGCTGAGGACAAGACAGGACTCCTCTACTAGACCTAGCCAGTGCCACTGAACCCATGGCAATCTGCCAATCATCAAACACTCTTATTAGATTTTCAGACTGAGTCTAAACATATTATCTCAGTTAATGGGATAACCAGAGATCCTCCTATCTTTAGACTCCAAAGGTGGGGATTACAGGTGTGGCCCGTCTTTTAAGAAGTGAGAGCTTGTCCTATCTCCTCTACCCTATTCTGGCACCCTGGATCCAGCCTCTCCCCCTGCAAGTTCATTTAGCTGTCAGGCGCCCCAACTTCCTGGTCTACAGTACCCAGGCAGAGACGACCTGCTCATGGCACCTGTTGGGACCCCAACCCTGTGCCCACATAAAGCCCTACTACAAAAGCTACTTACCCAGGTAAGTGCCTGCCAGAGTGATGAGGTGGCAGAGAGAGAAGATACACACTAGAGTTAGAGTGAGCGGCATGCACATGGCAGCTAAGCCGCAAGGCAGAGCAGCAGGCAGCATGGGGCGGGGGTTAGTGAGTTAAGACCTAGGGTGCCCAGAGTTCTCATCCACCCTGCTTATGGAAGGCTGAATCCTGAGGCCTACCACCACAGCACCACAGGGTGGGGCCAGTCCATGGCTCCTAGGCTAGATCTAGTACTGAGACCTGGTCTTACAGTTTCACGACACTCACTTCTCTTGTGGCCTGAGCTGCCTAGACCACTCACAGAGCCAGTGAGTCCCCACCAGGTCCTGGTTGGGTCCCCACTGCAAGACATACCTGTATAATGGACTTTGAGAAATTCAGTGGAAGTGCACAGTTCTTTATAGAGGCCAGAAGCAAGGTCTGGGAAAGCTATGCCTGAACCCCTGGTTTGAGGTGAAGTAACATGCCAATCCCACAGCCAGACAAAAGGGATATGTCTTCCTGGGTGCATGCCAGTTGGCAAGCTTCCAAAACAACCTCGAGGGGGAGTGTCCTGAGGTACAACTGGATAGTCACTGCCTACTGTTATCCCCCAGGCTCTTGTCCTGACAGCTTGGGAGGGGCCTGAGTGGGCCCATGCTCCTTGGCTAGTTTTTCCTGGCTACCCGCGGGTCCAGCCTTAAACACTAACCCCTACACTGACATCAGACTTGGTGTTATTCCTCAGGTCCAGAGCAGGCTCATTTCCCACAGTCCTTTCCCCATCAGGAGAATCTCAGCTAACCATCAGCAGATACAAAGATCATATGTAGCCCAGCCACCAACCCATCCCTACTATCCCCATCAGGCAGGGCACACAAAAACTGCAGGTAGCACTAGCGGCCCTACAAGCAAGGCTGAAGGCATGCGAGCAGTCACAGCACGACAGCAGTGGGGGCACCAGGGCCCTCATGCAAGGACAGTCCACTCAGGGCTCAGGCCAAGGCTAGAGACCCAGGGCTCATGGGCCCTCTACCAAGTTCTAAGTCTACAAGAGCACAGGAGTGTGGGCTGTGGCCTGGGTCTGTGTGGGCTGCCCCTGTACGTGCCCTGAACCTCCCAGTCTGCTGGTAGACAGCACACACAGGCATCACGACAGGACTCGGCCATGGCACCCCACCAGCGGCCGCCCCAGGCCTTACCCCTACTGGGCATCAAGAGGCGCTTCTTCATGTTGCCTGGCAGTGCCCAGGGACAGGAGAGAGAGGGAGAGAAAACACCATCAACTAAGCCAGTTGAATAAGGGTCATGTGGAGGTCCAGGGCTAGTCCCACAGCCCCCTGTAGGCCTGACCTCCTTACAGGGCCAGCCCTGGCTTGGCCTCTTCACAGGGACAGTCCTGCAGCTCACACTCACCATCCACCCCATTGTGCTGTTCATAGCTCCTCTTGCCCAGGATGGTGGGGGAGCCATTGTTGATGACAGGGGCTGACTTGGCAGGGGTCAGACTGCTGAGCACACTGGACGAACTCTTCACAGGGTCAGGCTTAGGGGGTCGGGGATGGGTCTCTGTGAGCATGAAAGAGGCAAGGGCATTAGAAACAGCAGTCTAAGAGGCTCCATGCAGTAATAATACCTTCCACCCTGAAGCCCCACTGACTAGGCTGGAAAGAAGCGGTCACTGTCTACCAGAGCAGCCTGAAGCTGGGGATCAAAATAGCAGCAGGGCTACCTAGGATATCTTTAGGAGGGATGACAGCCAAGCAGAGCCCAGCTGGGTAAGTGCTAAGAGCTTACAAGATCCAGACACAGCCCATAAACACAGCAACTCCATCAGACAGCCTTCACATCCAGGCCACCAGGTCTGAAGGCAGAAAACTGGCTACTGGCCAGACACTGAGCTGCCTGGCTGGCTGAGCAAGGATCTACCCCACAGAAGGCGGATCCTAGCACTGACCACATCCTCCTACAGAACAAGGGCAAGGCTGGCCCTGGGGCCTAGGACCCCAGATAGGGAGCAAAGCCAAAGACACTTGTGTCTGCAATGAACACACTTAGCTCATGGTTATGGAATGTCCTTTCTAGAAGGACTGCTACCTCCATGCTGGAGGACTGACTCACACCCACTTAAACACTGCAAACAAGTGAAACCAAGTGTCTGGCTTGACCTCAGAATGTGCCATTTCTAAATGATCAGTAGCACTGCTTAGAGATCTCAACAGTGTCCAGATCAACACAAGCAAAGCACTACCCCTGCAAGGCTGCTAGTCAGAAGAGCACCTTGACCACCAGGGGCTCAAAAAGGCCTGCAGTGTTGTCTGATCGTTGGGGAAAGGCATCCCTGCAGTCAACCCTGTCTTGGTAGACTTATAGGTTGGGTTACACCTGGCATAAACCCTAGTCAGAAGTCAGGTGTGGTGGTGCACTCCTTTAATCCTAATACTTGGGAAACAAAGGCAGGAATCTCTGTGAGCTTGAGGTCAGCCTGGTCTACAGAGTGACTTCTGGGGCATCCATGGCTACACAGAGAAACTTTGTTTCAAATAGGACACAGGGCTACTGGGTATGCCAGAGATTAGAAACAAAGGGCCTGGGACTCAGGACCAATACGGGGACAGAAAGTAGCACTGTTCTCTGTGGGTATTCCTGAGCCTGGCACAGTGCAACTTAGCCCAAAAGGGTAGTTCTGGTGATCACGCAGAGTTTCCGAGATGGGCTGCTAGGATTAGAGTTAGAAAGCTGTGTGCACCCCTCCACCAGCTTACCAAGGTACCGGAGTACAGCCTCCAGGGGCTTCCGCGCTACCTGCTTCAGCACCAGCGGGCTCTGGGATGCTTCGGGCAGCCGTGCCGTGCCTACAGGAGGACGAGGTAGAGTAAAGGACTATACTCCCCAAGAATCAGGGCCCTGACCTTTACCCCAACCTAGACACTCAGCTTGGTTGTGGTTTCCGCTGGCGCCAAGAAAGGTAATAGGGGTGACTCACATTCAGCCTTGATTGCTGCACTGTTGATGGGCATGTAGGGGTGGCGTGCGGCATGCCATGGCCGTAGGATCTCACGGCATAAGCGCCGGGCAATGCGTGTCAACTTGGTAGTATGCAGGTAGAAGGCCTGCCTTGTCTTCATGGCAAACTTGGGGCTCCCACTGCTCCGGGCTGGGATGCCATGGGGACTCTGTGAAATGGGGCACACCACCCCAACACAGCACCGTGACTGGAGGTCAAAGACCTGAGGCCTACATGCAGCAGCTGACAGGTATGGCATGTCCCACTTACCATGTTATTGCGGTTTGGTCCCGGCCTCTCTCCATCTAACCGGGTTGGCATTTTCAAGCCACCATATTTCTTCCAATATGTCCAACAAGATGCGCAGAGGCGACACTGCATGTTAGGGGGACCCCAAGAATACCACTGGTAAGACTGTGTGGCTACGGACAACAAAGTTGGAAATAGACGGATTCTTAAGCAGAACCAACGGTGCAGAGAGCATCCCAGTGTCCCCACCACCACCACCATCCCACCCACTGGCCCAGGGCCAAAGCAGATCCACTTTACATTCCCGCGGAAGACTTCCAACCCCCCCCCCCCCACTGTAGCCCCGTTATGGTGAGTCATTCCAGTTCTGGGCACAGGGGCCTTCAGGGGCCCCATGAGCGCCATAACCACGTAGTAGCATTCCCGTGGCCCTTGCTGCCCATGGTGGGTGCCAGGTACAGCACTTACTGTAACAGCTCTCGCAGGCCCGGCCGGCCCCGGGGCTCTGGCCTGGTGTCCCTGTGCCATTCACTACACTGGCCTTGACACTGTTGACGCTGATCTGGTTTGGATTTGGCTTGTTACTGATGGAGGAGAAGGATCAGTCACAGGTGCCCTGGGGTGTCTGTATCCCAACAGACATCCCTGTACCCCTGGTCTGTTGTATTCTGGCACCATACTCCATGCCCCAATATGCTGAGCACTAAACCCAGCTTGACTCCATGGTCAAAAGAATTTGAATCCTCATCCCTCCTCCCCAGCTAAGAAGCTCATGAAAAGGGTGATGGAGGTTCCCTGACTTAGCTCAGGAGGCCACTGACCCCAATGGATCCAAGTGTCCCACACCCACTGCCCATCTACCATTGGCCCCCAGGAAAATAAGAATGAACTTACTAGTTGGGAATATAAACCTGCTTTAACTTGCTCTCTGCTTCAGCTGCTTTCAAACGTTTCTTAAAACAAAACAAAGGGTTAGGGAGGTCACCAGGCTGGCCAAGGCAGCAGGGAGACCACAGGGAGGGGGACACCATTGTTTTTCCATCACTGGGTCCCTTGGAAAAGACTTGTGAAAATTTTGCATGTCCGCCCTCCTGGCCAACCTAGGACTAGGAAGTGGGGGTTCAGGCTGGCTAGGGTTCAATAATGTCCCTTCCCCCAGTCTCTGAGTCCTCTAGGGACCGTGGCTCCTTCCTCTTTGCTCCAGCGCTTAGGATGTATGTATGAACACATTAATGTGACTATATGGGGACTGTGGGGAAGGATGAGGTGGATGTGGTGTGGGAGGGTGGGATGGCCCACCTGCTGGACGTATCTGTCGGTGGTCTTCCACATGTAGTAATACTCAATGATGCTGGTGAGCGATTTCCATGGGAGCTGGGGGAGAAGGCGACATCATGGGTAGCAGAAACAGGACTACTGCCCACAGAGGTAAGGAGTAGGGTAGCAGAGGCAAGGGCAGTGCTGGAATATCAATTCTGGTCCCCCATTAATGACATAACAACAATCCCCCTCCCCTGCTTGTTAACAACAGGAAGTGGGTGGCTGACCTTCCCTTGAAAACTCAGGCTAGAACCTGACAAGAACTTGGTTCTGTCCTTACTAAGGACCAGGCATGAAAAGGACAAGACTGGCAGACCTTGTTGTCTTGCCCTTCTGACCCCCATCACGAGACAAAAGCAGGTCCTGACGACTGTGTCACCATTCTCAGTGCTTTGCTCTTGTGCTCTTTGTCCTCTGAGCACAAGAGGGTCTAAAACGAGACGAGAGGCCCTTGTGCCACCCACAGCCAATGCGTGCTTCTCCTTGGCGGGAAAGCCAGCTGTGCTGCTTCTCTGGGGTAGTTAACTCTACAGCTTCTAACAGATTCTTTATCCTTCCCCTTAGTATTTTGCTCAATGTTGAGGGCTGGGGTGGACTTTATCTTTCAGCACACAGTAGTGTGTAAGAGCCCCTTGACCCTGCTCCTCTTCCATTGCTTCCTGGGCCACAAGCCAAGTGACTGAAATCTTTTCACCTCAAGCTACTGTTTAAAAAAATGGCAGTTGTAATTTCAAAGGGCTCAATGGGTTGTTTTTGGCAGTGGTGGGGATCAAATCCAGGGTATCGCCCACGCAATCAAGCATTATACCACTGAGTTAGACCCCAAGACTAGGGCTTTGGTCTTTACAGCCTAGCATGGTAGTTAGAAATGTCATCTGTTTCTTTAGTATTTATCAGCTCAGCTTTATTTGCATGAACAATTGGCCGAGAGCAGACTCATGAAAGTGTGTTTTGTGGCATGGGGTTTGTCTGTTTTGTGGACAATCAATCCTGTTTCTATATCTGGTTCACTTGATCCTCTGGCCAGTAGGCCTTGCTCTCCAGCAGGTGGCTCTGCAACCCTTTCTTTTGAGTCTCGGACAGACTCAGTTTATCTGCAGAATGGAGTCTAGAAATGTGCCGATTCTCCAGGGCTGTCCACCCATTGGGGAGCAACCATGTCTAGCCCTCCCTCAAATGCTGCCAGCTCTGTTCTAATTGCTGTTTTCTTTCTATCCCATTCTTCTAACTACTTTTTGTCTAAAAAGGTTATGCTTACTTTATTATTTTTTGTTTTGAAGACAGGGTTTCTCTGTATAATAGCTCTGGCTTTCCTAGGACTTACTCTGTAGACCAGGCTGGCCTTGAACTCACAAAGATCTGCCTGTCTCTGCCTCCCAAGTGCTGAGATTAAAGGCATGTGCCACCACCGCCCAGCTGTCTAGCGGAGACTGTGTTCTGTGGGCCTCCTGGGGCTACGCCTTCTGGCTGTCGGCCCTTCAAACCTCCTGTCCATGCCTACACCAGCACTCTGCATGCTCCTGGCTCTCCCACCCTGGTCTGGACTTGCTGCTGCTGAGTTTGTTGGTTTTGTAGCAGGTTCTCTCTGTTACCCAGGCTGGTCTCAAACTCATAATTCTCCTGTCTCAGCCTCCTGAATGCTGCGATTATAGAAATATTTCAACATGCTTAGCCTTGCTATTATTCTGACAGTGCTCCCAATGGACAACAGAGTCCACTCACTACAACCTCAAGGCTGTAGAGGTGGCCCAGCTGACTCACTTCCTTCCCCAGAGTGTCTGCAGGCTTTCAGTCAAGTTTAGCACTATTCAATCCTTTGGGGAATTGGGGACTCTGAGGGCTTCAGCCACTCAGTAAAGACCCTGAAGTCTTTACTGTGATTTACATAGTAGCGAGGCTCAACTTAGTTAAGAACAAAACAAGTTCAAGCAGTTTTGAGGATGGGTCTGGTAAGTCTTGAGGATGACCCCAAGGGAAGCTCCTACACAGTAGAATCCTAGCTCCACAGTGAGTGCCTATGCCCAGACTGAAAGGGCAGGGGCCTGGACAGGCACAGGCATCTTCCTTGGTGAGAGATGGGGCCTGCCTAGCCACTACCACAGCCTCAAGCACTTACAAAATCTTGTTGAATGTCTGTGAAATCCTTCCCATATTTTTCCAGAGCTTCCTCGAAAAGGTTGGCTTCTGATGCTGACCACTCCTCCATCTCATCCCTGCAGAGCACCGGCCCCCCCTGCGGCACGAGGGCTGAGATGGCCTTGGAGATGTCGTAGATATTCTTGTGCAGCGTGTCCATAGCATGGAACTGTAAGACAGCAGGGCTCCCTGGGTCCAGGCTGTCCCCAGGCCCTAAGGAGTATCTTCCTCAACCTGGGATATGACCCCCCACTCTTTCAGGTCTCAAGGTAACAATCTAGTGGCTGCCAAGGCCCCTGGGTGGGAAATCCTCCCTAACTCCCTTGGCATATGTTAGACAAATCTAAGGTGTACCAGAAGATACCGAAGTCCTCAGTTTCCTTGCTAGGACCCTCTATGCCTCTGCGGCTGTTAGACCCCAGAAGAAAGCAGGGGAAGTGGCAGTGACCCACTCACCAGGGTGATGTCTCGGGAGGCTGCTGCGGCACTCATGTGCAGGCTAGGCTGCCGCACGGAGCTGCTGCAATCCAGGGCCCGTGCAAAGGTGCCCACGGAGCTGGGGAGAGGGAGATTCACTAACCACCAGAGCTGGAGGGATTGCCTCCACCAGGCAAGTCAGTGAGGGCCAGGACCCAAGTGGCACACCCACCAAAGGGTCTCTGGGGCTCAGTTGTAGAGGAGGCCAGGTAGAAGCTGCATGAGCAATTTGGTGGCATCTGAGTTTCCATGTGCAAATGAGTCAGGGTAAAGAACATACAAAAAGTGCCTCGATGCTGGTTAGGAGAATTCTCCATCTCCACTGTGTCTGCTGGAGATCTCTCTAAGGGGAGCTGCCTCAGACCTGGGAATGCCAAGCCTCACCATCTGTGGCAAAGGTAGACAGGGCTCCTCCTGGGCCATGCTGGAATTCACTTGGGCTTCAACTGCCCTATGGGTTCAGCACTGGTTCTCTAGGTCCAACTCCTTCATTCAAGCAGCCTCCAGCCATCCACTCAGACAGCTGGGAACTCTTTAGCTAGATCCTAGCCTAGTCCTGGGAGAAGCGCCTGCCTATGGTGGAGATAAACCTCAGGGCACACAGTAAGAACAGAGGCCCAGACATACAGGTACACTTGGCATGGGGATCTGCAGGAACCCAGGGACGTTCGCAGCCATAAAAGGTTGCATCCATACTCAGGAAAGGTCTGAGCAGGAAACAAGGGCGAGACCATGGATTTCATGTTGGATGTACAAATTAAGGCTCCATGTCCCCAAGACCAACCACCATGCTGCAACTTGCTTACCCCTGGTTATCGGACTCACCGGGCCACTACAAGGAACTGGTCAATCTGCTTATCCACAAGTGGATTGTGGGCTTCCCACACCTTGGTCTCCAGTTTTGACTGATCACGGCCATCCTCCTCACCTATGGGAAACAAGCGTTAGAGCAGCAAAGGCTGTGGGAAACACTCCAGAGTGAAACCAAAAAGTCTGTTTGTTCCCCAGGCCCCACGGTATCACTTTTCCCCAGGTGATGGGAAGTGCTGACTGGGGGGGTGGGGCAGTACATACACCCATACACATAACCTACACGGCACTTGGCCCAGGAGGGCTTGTACACCCTATACATACCCAACACCCAAGGCTGGGCATGACCTGGGGAAGGGAGGGATCTGTTACTCTGGGAGTTATGGGACAATTAGTGAAGAAATAACTGTAATCATGAAGAGCACACAGCAGCACTGAGAGTCTGGAGAACTGTACCATGAGCCAGGCCAGGCCTGACTCTAGGGAGATGCCCCAAGGAGAAATCCCACAATCATCCATTGTCTGACTCTCCAGCCAAGGACTACATTCATAATTTAATGAAGGTATCAGGCTTCGGAATTTGCATCAGATCCAATCAATTCCCCTTTGGTCCTTGGCATCAATGCACCATGTGTCCATGAACAGCTAGTACTTGAGTCCCTGCAGGGTACTGGGTTCCAAGTCAGGGCACGGAGCAAGCTCTCTAATAAAAGGACTGGATGTCTCCAAGGAGGTATTTCTGGTCCTCTTAAAGGGTTACTATCTCTAGGCCCTAAATCCAGGGCAGGGCAGATCACAGAGGATGAGGGTACTGAGTCAGAAGCCCACCACTGCACTTCTGTGGGCAAGACCATGGACTTCACGGTCCCAGTATGGACCACGGTAAGGATTGAGGAGCTTGTATCATTATCAGGTTCTCTGGCAGTCACGGTCCACCGCTGGATTCTATAACCTTTAGCCTATGCAGGCCTAGTACCGGGGCATTTCCTCAGTGTTGTGGGTAGGTTTCTCTCTTGGTGTGGACTGCACTCAATCCCTTCACCTAGAGTCACAGTGTATAATGCTTAGTATTCCCAGGTTCCAAAAACCAAGACACTGGTCAAAGCAAATGATTTGCAACTGTCTGAAACTGAGAGGAAAGAACACCAGAGGATTCCCACCTACACTGCTCCTTTGAAATTTCCAACATAGTTAATGGAGGCAGGTATTCAATTTCATATTCAAATTCAAAAAGGGACTGTGGGTGGGGATGGAGAGATGGCTCAGCAGTTAAGAGCATGTATTGCTCTTCCAGAAGACCCAATTTCAAGTCCCAGTACCCGAATTTCCAGTACCCATGTCTAGCAGCTCACAAACACCTCTGATCTCTGTGGGCAACCCTGACACATGGCATACACACACATGAATAAAAGTGTATTTTTAAGAAAGACATCATGGGAAGCAACTGCCTTTGGGTCAAGAGGCTACAGAGGAGTACTAGGAAGGAAGAGGCCACAGTGGCAGGCCATTCCTCTGGGGCCCTGAAGTGGCTCTCTTAGGGATGGATTCTCCTAGCACTCACCAATGAGCCAACAAATACCTGGGACTCATGGAGCTGCTGGATTCTGAAGAACAGATGCTCCAATCGAGGTCCTCTAACCTTTGAGACCTCGCCAAGTTTCTGGTCCCTGTGTAATCTAAGCTCAGTAGATTTCACAGGCAAGGCCTCTGTTACTTTCCTCCATCTCTTCCCCTGGCCAGACTAAGAAAGCAGATACTGTGGCTTCAGCCCAGGAGGCTGGACATGGTTCAGGACTGCTTATAGAGCCTCAGAGCTGGGGCTGTTTGGGGAAGAAGCTGAACTGAGGCCAGCACAGGCAGCAGCTGGCTGGCTCTGGCTAAGAGGCTGTGCATGGGCATCAGGATGCCTAAGTGTCAGAAACTCAACCATGAGACAGAAGTCAACAAAGCAGTCTACTGAACATAGAACTCAAGAGGGAAGCACCCTTGTACCCAGAGAGCCAGCTGTTTGATAAGCCAGGTCCCACCCAGCTGCCACCCAACTGGGCTTAGCACCACATTCTGAGATTAATAAGCACAGAAAACAAAGAATAAAAAGCACCAAAGGTAAAGAGAAGGACATGCAAAATGACGTGAACATGTGCTGACTAGGGCCAAGTACTCTAAGGCAGCAATGCACTGTACTAGCACAGCCTCTCTTAAATTGAGCTAACAGTTAGATGGGATATGGAACCTCTGACAGGCTATTGGGACAGAGCCTGAGCGCTTTATTAGGGGACAAAGGCCAAGGTCTTGACCTCATCAGATTATTCTGCTAAGGCTGCTGAAGGAAGATGTGGGGGGACCTGCAAGTCTCAGATGCTATGTCAGAGTTGGTGGGTGTCAATCTGCTCTGGCGGTGGTAAAATCACTTCTGACCAAACCTGAGAAACTGAGTTTGATCTCTGTGACCCACCATTGTAGGATAGAACCTATTCTTGCAGGATGTCCTCTGACCACCAAACCCCTAAATACAGATTAATGAATAAATAAATGTGATTTTACACCACCCCAAAAAGGAGGTGGTGTTGAGATGGTTCAGTATGCAAAAGTGCTTGTAGCCAAGCCTGACAATTTGAATTCAATCTCTAGAATCCACATGCTAGAAAGAGGTGACTCCTACACGTTGTTCTCTGACCTCCACAAGCACACTAAGAACCTGAACTAATCCTGGGTCTTACAGGGTAGGTCTTCTGCCCTCTACACACCACACACAAATGTAAAAACGACAATGAATCAAGTGTGATGGCTGCCTCTGTATCCTCAGCGCTTTCAAGGCTGAAGCAAGAGGGCAGCAAGTTCAAGGTCAGTTTGGCCTATGTAAGATAAGGGAGACTCTGTCTCACAACAACGGCGAATGAATAGGGCTGGGGAAATGGTTTGTTGGTTAACAACACTGCACTGACTGCTCTTCAAGGGAACCTGGGTTCAACTGCCGGCACCCACAGAGCAGCTCACAACTGCCTGTAACTCCAGCCACAGAGATCCAACACGTTCTTCTGACTCCATAGGCACTGTACAAAAGTGTTGCACCAATACACTTGCAAGCAAAATATCCACACACATGAAATATAAATAAATACGACGAATGGGGCTGGGGGTGTGGCATGTGGCAGAGCAGCTGCCTAGCAGAAACAATATAAAATCAAAGTCATAATGAACTGCCAAAGGGAAATCCCAGATCACGAAGCTAAAGGGGTTCAACAGGTGGCTCTTGGGTTTGAGATTTGCTTCTGGATTCCAATGTCCCCTAGGAAGGAGGTGTTGAAAAGCCGAAGTCAAGGTTACCGAGGTTCCAGCTACAGGTACTACTTCCAGCTTCCTCCCTCCTGGCCCAGCCTGAACCTCACCTTCTTTTAGCAAGTCAGTGATGTCAGCCTGGTACCGATTTCCTACTCGGATTTCCCCTTTATCAGCCAGGAGGGTCTTCTGCTGTGGGTCGTAGACTAGAGAATAGAAGAAGAAATCCTGAAAAACACCACACAAGACAGGCGTCAGGTGAGTTCTCTACCTCCAGCTGCTCTCAACAAGCCCATTCAGTTCTGACAGTGTATGTGTGTGTGTCTTGCCTGCCCATGACCCTGGGCGCAGAAGCTCCCACAGCAACAGAAATGAGGTAAGAACTGGGAGGGAGGGCTGGAGCATTGCCTGCTCTTCTAAATGTCCTGAGTTCAATTCCCAGCAACCACATGGTGGCTCACAACCATCTAAAATGAGATCTGATGCCCTCTTCTGGCCTGCAGGCAGACACACAGACAGAATACTGTATACATAATAAAAAAAAAACAAAACTCTGGGAGGGAACCTCCTCAAACTGCTGCTGCAGAAGGTGCCTGTTTGGTTAGGAACTAAGGGTTTTTTTATTTATTATTATTTTTTTGTTTTGTTTTTTCGAGACAGAGTTTCTCTGTGGTTTTGGAGCCTGTCCTGGAACTAGCTCTTGTAGACCAGGCTGGTCTCGAACTCACAGAGATCCGCCTGCCTCTGCCTCCCAAATGCTGGGATTAAAGGCGTGCGCCACCATCGCCCGGCTGGAACTAAGAGTTTTTGAGTCATGTGCCAAGGTCACCAGGCATAGCCCCCTCACAAAAGGCACCGTCTTTCTGTCACAGCAACAATTTTAATTCAGCTTATAAAGGCCGGGCATAGTGGGCATCCTAGCACTTGAGAGGCAGACCCAAGCTCTGTGAGTTCACAGCCAGCCTGGTCTATACAGTGAGTTCCAGAACAGTCAGGAGTATATAATAACCTATCTCAAATACCACCAGCAGCTCGTGCGGGGGACGGGGACAGAATTCAATTTATGAGAGCAACAAAAACGAAGGTACCTAGGAATAAATCCTACAGGCTGCAGGCACAGAGGTGCACCAAGCACAGAGCTGGACACCATACCAGGCTGCAGCTTTCCATGGAGGACTGAGCTCAGGGCCTGGTCACCAGGCAGAAACTCACACTACAACCCGTTTCAACCTTTCCCTGCCTCAGGCTTTAGTCCCACTGCTCCAGTCTCATTCCTCATAGGCGCATGGTGCTGGTTCTGAGTAGGAGTCTCCTGGGATCAACTCCTCCCCATCTGACTCTCAGTGCTTCCAGTGATCTCGAGTTCCTGACCTGCACCTGTGCACTCTGCCCCCTCCCCCCACCTGTTGCCTAGCTCTTCCACAGCTCTTGGGCTGCTGGTCCTAATCTTTACATTCCATCCCATGACTAGCAATTCCTCTGCCTCCTTTCCTAGCTCCTATTCTAAATCCTGCTACCACTCTGAAAATGACTTCTTTCAACTGCTGTATTGCGGCGTTAGTACCACATACAAGACCTGTCAACGACGGCTGCTGTTGTGATCCAGCTGCCCTCACTCCCGGACTGACAGCGGAACTTCCTTGTGGTCTGTAATTGACAAGGATGTTTGTGTTCTTTCTGGCCAGTGGGTCTCCACAGAAGGAGTAGAGGTATAAAAGGTTGCTGGGCAAACTAAAGGTTGCTGTTCTTCCACCTGAAAAGAAGCCTCCCTGTGTCAATCCTAGCACCCCCCCACCAGTCTTGGTATCCAGGTTGCGCTGGCTGCAGCAAGTGGAGGTCCCATCGAGATCTGCAAAGTGGGAATATGTGAACGGGATTGCTCCAGCCACCAGCTAAATTGAGGAGCGTATTGGGGAAGGTAAAGTTTTTATTTTTCATCCCCAGAGATAACTCTGAGGGACATCCTCCAAAAGATAAGCAAGTATAAAGAAGCGGGAGGGTGAATTGAAAGGCCTCAAAAAGTAACCGAAACTCTTAAAGCAACAAGGCACGGAAGTAACAAGGAAGAGAGCCAAAGATTTTGTACAGGAGGGGATTTAAATGTTCCAGGTTGGGAACAAGCCAAGTCAGATTAAAAGGAGTATGTGTGTCTTCATCCCCAGAGATGCTCTGAGGGATGACCTCTGGCAGCTGGCAGTAAAGAGGAGGCAGGAAGGTGAATTGAGGGCCTCAAAAGATAGAATGTATAGAGATATATTTTATTGTGTTGATTGTGTTGTCTTTTGTGTTCTGGGCTGGAGAAAGACATTTCATTCTGGGAACTGCTAAGAAAGGTATTTTGACTTTAAAATACAGGCCTAAAGATTTGATGCTTTGGAAAAGAGTTTCTGCTTTTGTCTCCACAGAGGATGAGAACCTGTGGATTCATTGCAACTTTACACGGTTTGAATCACCAAGACCCCCTGAAATGTTGATGTAAAATACCCCCAAGAATGCAGCACCCCTGCTCATCAGGAAGTAGCCAGACAGGTTGACGACGCCCAAATTCCCTAAAAGATTGTTAAAGTGGGGCCCCTTCAATGGTTCCAGAGCAGGAGCAGCAAGCCTGCTTCCCTGAGTTCTGCTCCACTCCATGCAGCAGTTTGGATCCAGAGTGAGTGCAGCTGGGGCCAGAAGGCAGCTGGAGCAGAGCTTTGCCACCACAGCTACTGCTGCTGGACTTGCTCTC